GGGCCTCCTGCCGCTCCAGGAGAGCGGGGATGGTGGTTACATCTACCAGTCTCTTCTGGCATGTGTGTTGTGTGTGCCAGCAGCTTGGGTTTCAAAGCTGAATTGGCACCGCTGTGAAACCCACCTGGGACTGCAGAACAACAGAGCTTGGTATTTGACTATGATTCACGCTGTCAGGATGTGTCATCCTTCTGCTCTGCTGGGCCCAAGGTGTCTGGAGGTGGGGGAAAAGCAAGAGGAGCCCCAGCACAAGCTGCTTCCCTTTCCATACGCTTCCAGCCAATTCGGCACCAGGATCCCTCCTACCCCTGAGCTTTGGGCTTACCTCTTCCTTACCTGTCTGTGCCGCTTCCCACATCCTGATCATCCAGGCGTTTCCCTGGTGGGGTCTGGCACCAAGATCTCTCCTTGGGCAGCAATCCTGTGCCACAGGTCACAGCACACCTTTGCCTTCTCTACCCTCCCAACATCTCCCGTTTCCTCTAGCAGACGTGGGGATCTTCTGCCTGGTGCTGTAGGGTTTTGCCACCCAAATTCCTTTGTTCAGTGGATTCCCCTGGCTTACAGGGAGAGTAGGAAGAGCCAGCTCTGCAGGTATGGACGTCCCAGAGGTTAGTCCCCTGGAAAAGATAACCACAGAGGAACAGGGATATGAGAGGGTGAAGGTGCTGCAAGGAAAACTCCATGCCAGTTACCCGGCTCTGGATGCGAGCTGTGAGGTGTCCCGTTTGCGATGTGGGTGTCAGCCCCAGCAGGGAAGAAGGAACCGGATGGGGATGGGGGGGCTGTCCCTGGCCCCGTGTGGAGAGGGCACAGCAGCGCGATGGGGGGGTTCGCTCCGCACCCCGGCCCCGCCGGGCTACCGCAGGCCGCGCTCTCTGCGCGGGGCTGCAGCACCCTCGTGTGGCTGCGAGAACCGGCGGCGGGGGCACCCCCGGACCCCGAGCCACCGAGACCCAGCCCCCGTGAGGGCAGGACCCGCGGTCTTAAGGCGATTGGGACGGAGGGATGGATGGAGGGATGCTGGGTACCATCCCCTGGGGAGCGGGTTGAGGAGGGGGCTTATGTCTGCTCTTGCACCCATCAGCCGCAGGCGAGATTCTCTGCCCCACTCCTGGCCATGCTGCGTGTCCACATGCAGTCATTCCTCCTTGCATGCAATAACTCTTCCTTGGCTTTGTAACCCCCACTACAAAGGAAAGCCTTGCTTCTTCCCGCTTCCCAGATCATCACAGAGCATCGCACCCCCTGCGGGTGGCTGCCATCCAGCTTCTCAAAAGCTTCTCTGCTGTGTGAGGTTGCTTCCTTTGGGGATTTGGAAAGAAGCAGCAAAATATCAGCTGCAGAGAGAAGCTGCTCTCCTTCCGAACGGAGCACAGAGTTCGGGGTGACTGACACATCCCTCGGCGCAGGAAGGGCTCAGCTGCTGAGAAATGAGGTGCTGCTGTCACCTACGTGTTTCTGCAGCTCGGAGGTGGTGTCAGCAGGGTCTCTGGACCTTCCCGTTGCCACCAGAGGGAGAAGGGCTCCGCACAAGGATAGCGGGAGAGGAGGATGCTGTAACCTCTACGTCTGTGTAATTCATTCTGGATGGGGATAACCAGGCTGGCGTCCCTGCGAGCTGGAAAATGTGAGCTCTGTTTTGTCTCGCTGCCGTGGCAGCTGGCGCTGATGGTAATACAAAGTTGTTCTCATTTAAGTATGGCAGGGACAAGCTTCAACTTTTCAGCAGTTGGAAAGCTGTGCAAGAGTGTCAGGCACAGGGTAAGAAACAGGGAAACGGGGTACAGGGAGGTCCTCCCATCACCTGAGCCTTGCTCTTTGGGAAAGGCAAACCAGGAAGGAAATGCAATCTGCAAATAGTGTTCTTGCAACTTTGAAGTTGTGGTGTGTGGAGGGAGCTCAGCTCCCCTGCGGGAACGGGTCCTGGTGATGGATGTGTCCATGACAGGCTGCTTCCTAGGAGGAAAAATCCTCCCATGCTGGAAGAGGAGGAGAGGTAGCAGAGTGCCTTTGAGCTCCTTTTGATTGGCAGCATTCCACCCAGTGCATCCCTACCTGTGGAGTGCAGACCCTGCCACATGAGCTGCAGCTCTCCATGCCTGTCTGCCTTCTGGGAGCTGATGGACCATGGGTTGAAACCTGCTTGAGTGGGACCTGAACTGAATCTGGGACAGTTCAGGCAGGAAATAAGTGACATATTTCCAGCAGTTAACAGTAATGCAGTAATGAGTCATTGGAAGAATCTGCCCTGGGAGCTACAAGCTCTTTGCTTCCAAGGGTCTTTTGAATCAGGGCTGGATGCCCTCCAAAGGATGCTCTGCATTGGCCACATGCTGAGGACACGAGGATGCTGCTTGGGTGATGTTCTCTGCCTGGGGCTAAGCAGGAGGCTGGGCAAGTGACCTTGATGATCTATAAGTCATTTAATGAATAAGTAAGTGGCTGCTTCCCCCTGCTTTTGGGTGCTCTGTGCCTGCTCTGCACTGGAGGGCCTTTGTACTCTGCAATCTGAAAGCTGATGGTTTATTCCTACCCTTTTGTTTCTTACCTTTTAGCTAGTTGTCTGTGCAGATTCTGACCCTTCTCCCTGCTGCCTCTTAGCCTGATTTCTGTAAACCTGAGGGGAAAAAAGCCCTAGGAACCCCCATGATTCTCTGGTCCCTGTGTGGAGCTCCCCTGCAGAGGGAATTTGCGAGCAGCCTGGGTCAGATCCTATAGGGCCTGCTAGTCCTAGTGGGATTTTGAAGAGGAGAAGCAAATCAAGCCCTCTTCCTTGATAGCCCCTCCTCACTAGTCATTATCCTGGAATGAAGTAACTTGCATCTGGCAAGGCCCTGCAATTAGCTGTAATTCAGGGACCTTTTTAGGCTGTTTTCTGTGCCCCTTGAGTTTCCATCATCTCCAGGCATCACTTCAAGGGACCCCAAGCCAGAGGGAAACCTGGCAGATCGGTATGGTCCCTCTACCCTGTCCCAGCTCCGTGGTGCTTCAACACACTTCCCACCTTGATCCTGCCCTTCTCCCAGGCAGTGGGGACCACTTGCTGTTTAGGAGCCTGGGATGAAATCCAGGTCTTGGGGAGATGCTGCGAGATGCCACCATCGGTTCCCCTGCTTGCCCAGGGCAATGGGGGAAACCACAGCATCCAGCGAGGAAAGAGCCACGTTCCCATCGAGCGCACAGACCCGTCTCTACTCAGTAAAATATTTATTCCTCCATTATTTCACAAGAGTTGTTTTTACAAAAACCTTACAAAAATTTCCAAAACAGAGACATGCAGGAGAGGAGAAAAAAAAAAAAAAAGGGAAATCCACCGTGGATCTTGTTCCAAGGAACTGAAATGTACAAATAGGAAAGGGCAAGAGGGAGGCTGGATTACAATAATCCCTCTGTCCTGCTGCCCCTCTGTGGGTGCAGTTTGTATCTTGTCTTGGTGAGCCTTCAGCATTGATTGACAAGCTGTGATAAGCTGCCAAGAGCACGGCGAGAGAGGGGCCATCAGCTTCGGAGTGAGTGTTTTCAAATATATATATACATATAGATATTTAGTGAAGAAATATTTATTCCCTGCTTTTTTTAGGTTTACAGAAACGGCATCTGCAAACTATTAGATGGGTTTATTTTCATTAATGCTCTCAAAGAGGCAGTGACATTTATATCCCTGTGGTTTCATCTTGTACAACCGAAAAAAGAGCCCTGTGCTTTCCATGGGAATAGGAACCCCCCAGCCCGGACCCCTCTTCCTGCCCCAAGCAGAGTTTCTCATGGTGAATAACTCGATCTGCAGTGGATCTGTCTTGCCTCCTTGGCTTTTGTCAGGTCTGTGTGGTGTCTTGCTGTGGTCTGGGAAGCTGTGTGCTCCCCTTCTGGTATGGCAAATGGGGGACACCAGCACTGGAAATAGGAGTGGGGGGACCAGGGTGACTTTGCTCCATGGATAAGGGAGGAGGTGACTGCTCCCAGCCAGGGGGCTGCATTGGTCAGAGAAAGCTGGGGCTGGGGGCAGGATGGAGGGGCTGGTTCACCCCCAGCCAGAGGAGATGTGCTCCTCTCCTGGTTCTCCCATCAGGTCTCCAGCTCTGAGTGCTGAGTGAGTCCCCTGCCTGGGGTGTAGCTGTTGGGTACCATGTGTGGCTGCTGTGAGAGCCCCAGTGGGACAGGGAGGGGACGCTTCTGGGAGCAGCGGGGATTCACATGGGCCCATGTATAGCTGGGATGCTTTCAGCCTTGGTGTCACACACCAGAGGATGTGTATCTGGAGGAAGCACCTTAGAAATTGCTGTATTCATCCTCAGATCTACTGCTACAGTCCCCAGCAGGACTAAGACCTTCTAGGCAAGGAGAGCTGGTGCCTTCTCCATCCGGGCCCACCCGTCTGAGCTGGTGGTGTTCCTGTGCTTGGCTGATGGCTCCTTGCAGCGGGTGAGGAACGAGTGCTCTGCTTCCTAGAGGGCTTTGTCCACAGGGTAAAACCTCCATCTCTCTGGCTCATCCCCCGTTGCTGTGGTATCAACAGGGGAAGGTGAAGGGTGCATCTCTCTGCAGCTCAGTCCCGATGGTGAAGGACTGGGGTAAGGTTGCCCACCCTGTGTCCATCCCCCTGCACATCCCAGCTTGCAACCTCATGATGCTGCGCAGCGGGGTGGGATGAGGAGGAAACCATTTCCTTTGTGGAAAACCAAAGGAGCTCACCCCCATGGAGTCGCCAGCCCCAGACCCCCGCACACATGTGCGAGGCTGTGCCTCCGGAAGGCGAAGCCTTCTTTGCCGTTGGCACGGAGCGCCGGGAGCCGCCTACTCAGCTGAAACCCAACAGCTTTTTCCAATTTTCTCTTTTCCCTGGGATGGTTCAATGACCTGGGGCTCTGCAGCACTGCTGGCAAGCCCACCGAGGGCAGCACCGCCTGCATGGGGACCGCAGTGCTCCCCGCAGCACCCAGTGAGTCCTTCACACCCCTCTTTGAAGGGGCAAAGCCTGACGCCATCGATATAGGCAGCACGATGCAAAGGGCTGGCTGCAGCAGGGACGAGCTGTTGGCTTCCCCAAAGTCTTTCCCAAGCACAAAGAGGCAAATGCGCGGGTCAGCTTCGGCATGTGTGGTTGAGCATCACGAGTCGCAGCCTGGCGGAAAGGGGGGTTCATGATCCTCCCACCACTGCACACTGTCCCTGCGGGAGGACAAGACCCAATAACTCTTTGGCTCTCTGGGCAAGATACCCAAATTGGTCAAATCCAATAGTCCAAGATCCTTCCATGTTTGGAAGCAAATTCTTGTTCCCTTGGCAAGTCTGTTTGTCCTCGAAGAGCGCGTGGGGGGTATGTGTGTGTGTATATATAGCCTTTATTATAAGGGTGTGCGGAAAGCAAGTTTCTAACCAAGTTTGCTCCATATGTGGCTATAATTATGTGCCACTTCGGCCTGGGACTGACTCTACCTTCAAAAGGGAAGAGAAGAGGAGAGAAGAGGTGCTGAGACGTTGGACAAGTGGCGTGTGGGTTGGGTTCGTCCTGGACCGGCACAGGAGCTCCACGCTGTATCCTGGATGAGGCCACGGGGTGGGCTTTGCCCTGGTCAGTTCACGGTCGGCACCTGGTTCTGATGGAGGCTGAACTCTTTGGCTTTGAGGCGCAGGCTGGCGATGCTGTTGGCCATGTTCACCCCTTGGGTGGGTGTCGCGGTCCCGCTGGAGCTGTAGGAGGGCACAGTGCTGCGGAGAGGGAGCAGGGGAGGAATGAGGCATGGCCGCGAGGAGTCCGCATGCCCCGCCGGTGCTGCTGGCTTCCCAGGCCAGAGTGGCTGTTCCCTCTTAGACATCTCCCACAAGAGCAGTCAAGGCTGCAGCATTTTTATGTGGCTGGATGCATGTGGGAACCCCTCAAACTATGCACCAGGAGGCCCTGCCTTGAGCTTTCGGATGGGATGGCTGGATGCGGAGAGCTGGGAACCAGAAGGGACCCTTACCACCACCCGTGCAGGGATATGGGAAGGGTCACCATGAGGCCAAGTTGAATTCCTTGAGAGGACTAGGGCCCCTATTCCAGCCTCAAAATGCATGGAGGCAGGGAAGCCTGCTTACACTGGGCAGGGGATGCTTGGATGAGGCTGAAATGGGTTTCCAAAGCAAAACCAGATGAGCTCCTTTTAGCCCCGTAAAACTCCTACACCCTCAGTGGCAGCACAGAGCTGTGCTCCCATGGTGGTGGGGTGGTCCCTAGGCAGCCTATCCCATAGCCATCTCCTCCCCAGACCCTTCAGTGCCTGCACCTACCTGTATGGAGAGGAGCTGGTCCAGGACAGATACTCTGGGGTCAGTGCAGTGGGCCGTGGCGCCATGGGCTGCTCGATGGCTGCTTCTTGGCTGTAGGATTTGAGGAGCGACGCTGATCTGTTGGCCAGCATCGCCCTCTCGTTACGGCGGAACTTGGCCCTTCGGTTCTGAAACCAGACCTGCGCGGAGGGGGAAGGTGGTCAGAGGAGACCCGGTCAAAGCAGGGATGTCCCAGGCATTGGTCCTACCGCTCATGGTCATGTGCGGAAGGAAATGAGATCTGTGCTCACCTGGACTCTCGCCTCACTGAGGTTGACCCTTCTCGCCAGCTCCTCCCGCACGAAGGCATCGGGGTAGTGCGTCCTCTCGAAGACCCTCTCCAGAGCCTGCAGCTGGCTGCTGTTGAAGGTGGTGCGGTTCCTCCTCTGCTTCTTCTTCCTCTTGGCTGCCCCGCGGCTCGGGCTCAGGCTTTCTCCTGTGGGGAAAGCACAAGAGAGGCCACATGAGAGCCAGACCCATGCGAGATTCCACGTGGAGACTTGGGGGTCTGAGCTGCCCTGCTCTGTGCCAGCTGTGCTCCCTGCAGGGAGCAGCCTACCAACCCTGTGGTCTCCATGAGAGTCAAATCCTGTTGCAGAACCTGCTAGAGCTTGGGGTTAAACCCAACACTTGCGAAGACCTGGGGTGGTTTTATACCTGGCTAAGATCACCTGGACCTGATTTTGACTTCCAGTTTCAATGGATTCTGGGGTACCACTTGAGCCAAACCTCTGGGACTGCATCTCACAACCCCTCCCATAATGAGAACATCCACAGGGTGTCTTAAGCTTGGATCTTGTAAGGGTTTAGGGCAAGCTTTCATGGACAGGGATTGAAATTCATCACCGGAACATCTCTGAGATGTGGGTCTTGGCTCCCACCTCCAGCACAGCCCTGGCTGTGCCTTGTCCCCAGGGTGACACAGGACTGCAGCCAAGCATCTGTTCACCCAGCCCTGGTCTTCAGAGCTAGGCAGGAACACCACTGCGCCTCGCAGAGCTCAGCCTCCGCAGTGTTTATTTCTGGCTTTGCTGGCTCATGGAAACACGAAGCTGAGGATGTAGTTTGGTTTCTCAGTATTGATCTTGGGCTTTCAGCCAGGCTGCGATTAATCTCCTCTTTGTCACTAATATCATCAGGTTTAGGCAAGTTTATGAAGTCTCTTTGTGAGACAGCAAATCGGCTGCCTGCAAAGGCTGCGCAGGGAACGCGTCTCGCTGCTGCTCTTCCTCGTGGAGGTACTACTTAATTATTCTTTCTGCTAATAAAGCATCTGGATCCAATATGTACCTACTGCTGGGAAAGTATTTGGGAATTATTTGCAATGTTAATAATTTTATGACATTCTGATTCATAGCAGGGTTATATTGGGGTTTTCTGCTCTGTATCATTGCAGAGGCCGTGATGGCAGGAATTACTGCTCCCTGAATATGCTCAAGAAATAAATACTTGCTAATAAGCCATCTTGGTACTTATTAAGTAGATGACCAACATTTTCATATTATTCTTAAGGAAGTAATGTCCCTTCCAGCAGATTTTGTTAACTCTCCTGCTTTATTGTGTGCAGTTCTGGTGTCCTCAACACAAAAAGGACATGGAACTGTTGGAACAAGTCCAGAGGAGGCCACGAGGATGATCAGGGACTGGAGCACCTCCCATATGAAGACAGGCTGAGAAAGTTGGGGCTGTTCAGCCTGGAGAAGAGAAGGCTGCGTGGAGACCTCATAGCAGCCTTCCAGTATCTGAAGGGGGCCTATAGGGATGCTGGGGAGGGACTCTTCATTAGGGACTGTAGTGACAGGACAAGGGGTAACGGGTTAAAACTTAAACAGGGGAAGTTTAAACTGGATATAAGGAAGAAATTCTTTCCTGTTAGGGTGGTGAGGCACTGGAATGGGTTGCCCAGGGAGGTTGTGAATGCTCCATCCCTGGCAGTGTTCAAGGCCAGGTTGGACAGAGCCTTGGGTGCCATGGTTTAGTGTGAGGGGTCCCTGCCCATGGCAGGGGGGCTGGAACTGGATGATCTTAAGGTCCTTTCCAACCCGAACTAATCTATGGTTCTATGATTGTAGGATATCACCAAGATGGTGAGCAGGAGGAAACTGAATTCCAAGACCTTTAAGGCCGGAAAACCCACTTGGACCTTAATTCTGAATAATTCAAGACATGAAACCTTCACCAACAAGTTCTCCATCGAGTTCCTAAGGTCCCTTCATGCCTGAATATACCACTTGCAAGGACTGTCCTATCCTGAGATGAGCCGTGAGGATCAGAGGAACTGTAACATCTGCTAGCAGGTTGTCCTCTGAAAGCGGTGCTGCTGTCTGATGCCATCACCAACATCCTGGTGCCCAATGGAGGCCTCACCAGGGGATGCAACAGAGGAGGAAGAGTTAAATTTATTTCCATTGCTGGCAGTGGCCTCCTGGAAAGAGCAGATGGCTTCTCTGGCACTTTGCTATAGTGAGAACCAGTGCCAGGGCCTGGGAGCACTGGGTGCCTCCATCCCTGACCTGTTAAGGGGTGAAGCATTGGGCTGGAAGGAGATGCAGGGATGCGGAGGTGGGAGCTGGGTACCACCAGCAGCCCTATTCCCCATCTGTCCGGAAGGGGAGGAAAAGGAGCTCTGTCCACCTCCCAGGGCTTTGGTGCAGCCATCAGCATTTCTGTGGGTCTTTTGTTATGTTCTAGGAGTACCTGGGCTTTGGTTGACCATCCCTTGGGCTGGAAACGGCCCGTGCTCTTGTATCTGGGACATGTCCTTCTTGGGCTGGGCAAAGACATGATGGATGGTGCTGTGCCCAAAATACCTGTGGGTTTGAGACCCTTTCCCTGCCAGGAAACCGCAGGATGCCCTTTGCTGCTGCTCACAAATGAAATTCTCTAGATTCCCTCCAGCCCTTGTTCCTGCAGCTTCAAATGTTCTGCCAGTCTCTGCTTTCCAGTTGCCCCTTTTAGTTAAACTCCTTTTTTGGTCCTGTTTTCCTTCAGCAAGCTAACGAGCCGCTGGATTAAAATACACGAAGCTCAGTCATGGTTGTCCCGGAGTTTTCCAGGAGCTTAGGACCAAAATGGGAAGCGTCAAGCTGGGAAGGAGCTACAGGATGTAACGGGGTGAGAGATGTTTCCTGGTGTGTTTATGGCCACCCTGTAGGAGTTCTGGGGCAATTATAGGCAGGGGCTCGGTTCAAAAAGTGCCGTTGCCAACGGCATTGCCCCCCCATTGAACTGGCAGGGATTTCAACAGAACCCTAATAAATGTATAAATAACATTTATAAGTCCCTTTGGTTTCAACCCCAATTTAAAATCTGGCTGTAGGACTCTTCCATAAGTGATGGCTGCTCCCACCTACTCGAATTTGGCTGCCAGCAAGGAGGAAGAGGAAAGGTTTCTTAATTCTCAGACAAGCTCCATAGGATCTGGCCCCATTTCTGGCTGGTTTCCATCTCTCCAAACCTATGAAGTAAAGAGCTAAATGGCCACAGGAGCTGGGCAGTGTTGCGCAATTCCCATATGGAGCTGGTAGGCTGCTGGGATGGAGATTTAAGACCAAAGTTGGACCAGGTTGTGTGTGGGTGCTGGCAGTTCTGGGGTAGCTGGAGAGTTGCAAACCCTGAGCTGTGCCTGGGTTGGGGTGCTTTGTTCACCCCTATTATTGGTTTTAATGAAGGGACCTTCTTCTGTTCCACAAAACCCTGCGAGATGCCCTAGGGAGCTTCTAGGAGGATGCTGGTGGCCCAAATCCCTTCCCCACCAGCTCACACCTCCCCTAAAGCACAATGAACTTGGTTTCAGCTCAGAGCTCCCCAGTCTCCCCCTCAGAAACCTTCTCTTTCCAGCTCAATTCTCTGCAATGTTCATTTTCTCCCCTATTTTCCACCTCATTTCCATACTGCAGGGAAGCAGCTCCATGTCTGAGGTGCCTGCCTGGGTCCTCTGCTCTTCTCAGGGATGAGCCCTGGTAATGGATCAACATCTTTTCCCCATTAGCTCAGGCATCGCAGGCTTGTGGGACCAGATAAATGCTGCCCTAATTGCTGGCGGCGTGTGTCTGACAGGTTTATAGAGTACAAAGTCGGGCTGGATCCCTTCTATCGGAGATGCTTTAATAACCCCAAATCAGCCTTCCAAAAATGAGCATCGCTAAGCTGTGGAATCAGAGAAGGAACAGGGAAGAGGATGGGTTGGATCCCCTCAGACCCACTGCCACCCATCCATGGGAACTGGATTTAACCGGACGTACTGACACCTCGATGGAGGAATCAGAAACTGGTTCCCACCCCGATGGGCTTCCAGGTATGAGAGTTTGTAATTGCACACAGTTAAAAACAGCTTCCCAATGTCTGTCTTTTACCCCAAAACAGCACTTGGGGGAGGTTAGAGAGAAAGCCAAGCCCTTGCCTTCATCAGTTGTAATTTGGGGGTTCGTTTGGGGCATGGCTGGAGGCATCAGTTTGATTGTCCAACCCCAGGGTCAGAGGAGACTCCTGAGCCACCCCGCAGCCACCTTTGCCTTCGCTGTATTTATCTTCCACTGATTACAATTTCCGCTAAAAGGGGAAAAAAAATGCAGGAGATGGGGGCAAACAGGGGGATAACGTTACCGAATAACCGATGATGACACGGGGGAGGAAGGGCTTTGTGCAGAGCAGACAAGCCCCGTGGGCTTCACTAAAAATGCCTTCATTTGCCTCAGTGCATTAGAAAAGACACGAGTCCTTTGTGGATGAGTTTTGGGGTGCTCAGTGCAGCCTGGGTAACCTCCAAATTTCCCTCTGCAATACCCAACCTCAGCGCTGCCTGCCTGAGGGCTGTGTCAGTCCTATGGATGCCATGGGGTGCTGGGAGTCACCCCAAAACCTTCTCCATGTGGGAGAAGGCTCGGGCAAGCTTGGGCCATGACGGTGAGCTGCCCTGCTGGGGGAGCTGGCTCCTGCCCCATTAGTGAAGGCAATGCTGAGTCAGCGTTGTGCTGGTTCAGCCGAGCACTGACCAGTCCCACTCCTGCCTCTTCCCTGTGTGCTTCCATTGGTTTCCCATAGGTGACTCACCCGGTTCCAGCTGCCGGGGCCGGGGCGCTGGGCTTGCCAAGGGGGGCCCCGCGCAGCAGCCGCCGAGTGCTGTAAAGAGCTAATTTTCACTACGTTTCCACCGAGGCTTCGGCTTTGACTTACGACCTCCATTAGCGAGCGATAAACGGCCTCCGTGCAGCTGTGAACCAGACCCAACCACCCCTTAAACCCCAGCCGCAGCATTCCCAGGGACGCTCTGGCAGCGCAGCTCATCCCTTGGGATGGCTTCTGGTGGTGGGCTCCGTCACCAGCCTATCGCTCCCCTCTGGACATGTACTTTGTGGGGTTCCTTTGCAAAACGCTCATCCCAGGGCATTGTGTTCACTCAGCATCAGGACGGTCCCCGTGTCCCATTACAAGCGT